TCAGAATGCACCAGGCCAAGAAATTTTCAGTAGTTCACTTTCACTACTATTGTTTAGCACTGTCATAGAAGGAATAGCAAATGTGATTAGGGAAGAGAAAGAAAAATGGGGTCTTAAATTGGAAAGGGAGAGGCAATACTTTCATTATTTGTAGGAGATACATTCCTATTAAGCCTCTTTAGGTTCTGGAGGCCACACATTCTACAACTAGGTATACTGATCTGGCCTACATATCAGGCAATGTTAAGAGGCATTATATGACTTTCAAAAAACAGCTTCTGGACCAGGCGAGGTGGCTCACGCTTGTAATCCTAGCACCTTGGGAAGTTGATATGAGTGGATCACCTGAGGTCAGGAGTTCGAGACCAGAATGGTAAAAATGGTGAAACCCCGTCTCTACTAAAAATACAAAATTAGCGGGCATGGTTGTGTATGCCTGTAATCCCAGCTACTTGGAAGGCTGAGGCAGGAGAATCGCTTGAACCCCGGGGTGCAGGTTGCAGTGAGCCAAGACTGTGCCATTGTATTCCAGCTTGGGCAACAAGAGTGAAACTCTGTCTCAAAAACAAAAACAAAACAAAACAAAAACAGCTTCTGATATGGTACTGGGACCTGACAAAGATGGAATATTTGACTATGTGACACTTAATGACCATATGCCCAGAACTGCTGAACTCAGTAAGTCATAAAGTTAAGATGGCTCACCAATAATCCATTATAAGATAGAAATACTACATACAGGATAATCACGAGCAGGACCACAGGGCACATGTAAGCTGCATGAGTGGACGCCCCATCATCCACCACAGTTCACCCAGAATTCTTCCCTAAGTCATAACTATGGCCCATGCATCATAACCTATGTACACACACTGATATCCAATAAACATACGTACAACCATGTGAAGCAGGCAGAGAAAACCTGGGTTTTGAGGTAATGAATAGGTTAGACTCAAGCCAAAAATGAATGGCAGCTGCATACAACTTCATTGATGGGTGGCCTTGAAAGAGAGTGAAGAGGGAAAATCTTTCTGATGGTCCAAGTTCAGGCAATGATCATCCACCTTGTGTGAAAGGAGGAGGGGGCTTGTAATGAGAATGTGTATTGATTCATGGGCAGTGACAAATGGCTTGGTAATGGTCAGAAACATGGAAGACTGAAAGACACAGAGACAAGGAGTTCTGGGGTAGAGGCATGTAGATAGGCCTATAAGAACAGGCATGAATCAAGCACAAAGATCATTGTATCACCCATTGATGTCCTTAGGAAGGTACAAGGGTCTTGGCATGTTGCCCAGGCTGGTCTTCAACTCCTGACCTGGACAATTCTCCTACCTTGGCCTCTCAAATCACTGATATTACAGACCTGAGCAATAGTACTTGGCCCCGGAAAACATTATTAAAATGAAATTATTATCATGGAAGGAGTATTAAACAATCAAGTAAACAAAATGACTTAGTGAGTTAATAACGGCCGGTTTTTGTCATGGGCGACCCCAGCACAATGGCCTAACAATGAAGTGACCAGAGAGGCAGAAATGGAGGCTATACATGAGCTCAGCGGCATGGACTCTCAATCGCCAAGGCTGATACAGCTACAGCTGTCTCTGTCTCTGAGTGTCCCACCTGCCAGCAACATAGTATCAGTGCTGAGCCTCCAATTTGACAACCAGCCATTAGATGGAAAGTTGATTATGTTGGGCTCCTTTTATCCTTGAAGAGTCCGCAGTGATTTGTTTTGCTTTTTTCCTCACAGAAATTGGTATCCATTCCAGATGTAGGTTTGCTTTTCCTTTCCTGAGGGCCTCAGCCAGCACCACTAAACTAACCGGGGGCTTAAGGAATACCTGATCCATAGGCATGGAATTTTGGCCTGTTGTAAGCTTCACTGTTTTTCCTCCTCCAGTATTTAACCCAGGCCGTGGTCATGTAGTCCTGTGTTTACTTCTACCCAAGGCATGATCACCCAATCCAGAATGAGGTCTGATAATGGCATATTAGGATTCTTGTTCCAGGGTGACAATGGAGATAAACCTAATGCTGTCACAAAGCTCAAAGGCATCCACTTTTGTTCTGATCACAAGGATGTACCTTACTTCAAATGTGCCCTGAAGTTTTCTGAAGCTCACAGCCCAATGTAGGGACCAGAAACTTTGTTTGCCCCTACCTTTTTGCCTTTTTTCATGAGAAGATCCTTTACCCCAGCCCTGGTTTCATATGGAAAACAGAATTCATGCCCCTTGTTCATATACGTTAAGTACTCCTTATCTCACAGAAGCTGAACCCCCAGCAAATACTGCCCCTTAAAACAACAAAACAAGAAACCCACAAGACAGAAGCCCATTGACTTCAGCTCCACTCACTTTTGCTTTTCTGTTCTACATTTGGTTCACAGAGAGATTTATCTGTTTCTGAGACCTTGTCTTTTGGTGTTTTAATATTTCACTTAACATTGCTAAGTATTGGAGTGTTTTATAGCATAAACTTATGATTATAGTGATTGGAAATACCCTAAAGGTGGCATTTAAAATATTAATTGAGAAATATTTTCAGAGAAGTGTAAAAGCATTTGGAAAAAAATAAAATTGGACCCCTACCTCCTATCTCTTACTAAAACAAATTCTCAATGGATTAAAGATTTAAATTTGAAAAGCCACTGAAATATTACAAAAGATTTTAGGGTGGACAAAAGTTTTTAAAATAGGACATACAAGTGCTAAACACTCAGGGAAAAACTGGTAAGTGTGGCTATATTCAAATTAAGAACTTATGTTCATCAAAAGACACCATTAAGAGAGTAAAACAGCAAGCCACAGACCGGAAAAAGATATTTGCAAGATATACCCAGTAAAGAATTCATATTCTAGAATATATTTTCTTTTAAATACTGATCAATATAAGAGAAACAAAAACAAAAACAAAAACAAAACAAAACAAAAAAAACGACCAACCCTCAAAAACTTCATTCTAAAAAATAGGCAAGAAATTCAAACAGGCACTTCACAATATATAATCTCTAAGAATCCAATAAACATAAGAAAAGGTGCTACATATTGTTTGTCGTCAGAGAAATACAAACTAAAATCACAGTGAGAAACCACCATCCACTCATCTGAATGTTGGTGAGGATATGGAGACACTAAAACTCTAAAAAATTGCTGGTGGGAGCATCAAATGGTAAAACCACTTAGAAATCTGGCAGTATCTACTGAAGACAACTGTAGGCCTAACAAACGTTATATAGATTAAGTCACAGGCCCACTTAAAGTCACATAAAAGGTAAAAGAAATGTCTATATGATGTCTGAGCCTTTGTTCTTTACTAACCCATGTCCCCTACAAACACACCAATGCCTTAAATGAACTTTATGTCTCTTTCTGGTTCACTGTTATTTGCATTGTTTAAAACACCCATAGCCCAGCCCTTGGTTGATTATTGCAGTTTATTGAACCTTAATAGAAATCTAGAATTAACAGATAAGAATGAGAAGAAGTATCACATAAACTATTAGTGGTTATTTTTCTGATTTTAAGTTGAATAAAATCCTCCGCAATATACATCAGAATTATTGTTTAAACTGATTTGCCTTGCTACTGTTTTTCTTGTCAGGGTTCAGAATATCCTCAACTCCTAACTGTAGTAAAAATTAAAGGCCGTGGCATTGCCTAGCATTTATTTTGTTTCTGATGTCATCTGTCTATTACCTTAGAGCTTTGCCTAACCTCATGTTAGTGTCTACTTAACCTGCTCATATTTCATTACTTCAGGATCTCATCTGAAGTCCTTTACCTAGAAATCACCACAGGTTTTTCTTCTAGAAAATGCTTTTCACTCCTATTCTCATCAGGATCCAGGAAATCTGCATCACAAGACTAAAATTTATAATCTTTGTGGTCAAAACTTTTTAAAGCTTTTCCAAATATTCGTCTTTTGGGCAATGCTAAACTGCTGTTTTCACAGCCAGTCCATGGGTGTCCAATCCTATAGATGCACCAAACTTGGACACCAAAACATTCGTGGAATAAATATTGCCACATTGATCTGCTAAGTTAACAAGTCTTGCTGATATTGTATTGGAGCCTAAAAGTTATGCATTAAACGTTCCATTAAAAAGCAGCAGCTTAGGGTGTAGTGGCACATGCTTATAGACTCAAGCTATTTGGGAGGCTGATGTAGGACTGCTTGAACACAGGAGTTCAAGATCAGCCTGCTGGGCAACACTGTAAGATCCGGCTCAAAAAAAAATAAAAAATAAATAAATAAGTAAATAAGCAGTAGCTTAGAAACCATAAAAGTTTAATTTGTATTCAGTTATTTAATAATAGTAATATTCACCCTGGAGGTCTCTCAACTAATTAGAAATCTCTTTTAAAACACTGAAAAATTTTAGACAGTACCTAAAGGACAGAAAGAAGACTGAAATTTCAGTCAAAAGGCTGACTGCTTCAAACAGTTTGCTGAACAAAGTGAAACAAAGAAATCTCCTCAGATGTCAACCTTTCCCCAGAGATCAAGAGGCTTGGGCACAGACAGGAGCAAGGAAGAATATACTTCTGAGCTCTGAATCTCCAGGAGAGCATTTTCTTGATTGATTAAAGCAGCCAAAAAGAATATGAATTAAAGCAATCTGGCCAAATGAGAGAACAGGTTAGTAATGACTTTTTCCTCCTTAAGAAATTTTATGACAATTCTACACATGTGGGAATGTGTAGGCTTCTGCAGCACCATTTTCATTTTAGACTTTGGAACTGTGAAGACTTCTTCCATATGAACAACGAAGGCTAAGCATCCTTAAACTAAAGTTAATGTTGAATTCAGATAAGCCATAAATGTATACCATGTATATTGTGACACTGCTTTTGATCAGTTTGGTTCATATTGTGCTATTATATATGCCCTATTGTTTATGTTTATTTTAGAAACTGTGACTCAATGTCCTTTGTTCCTCTTCTCATTTAAAAAAAACAACAACTGTCCCAAGGCTTAAGTTTCTTATATTTTACTATGTTTCTGAGACTGCTCTGCCTCACTTGAGGGTGCTCCTTTTTGTCTCCAAACCTGGGTGTAAAGGTTCACAATAGTAAGATTCTGAGTCAGGAACTCAGAATCTGTAGGATGGAACTGGCCAGAGGGTTTGAGTGAAGGCAGTGGATGTCAGGACCTAATGCAGAATGACAATAATCAGGGTACCCAGAACCCACTTTGCCTCTACCTTTGGCCATTTTGGAGAAGAAACGTACAAGGTAGACCATTACTGGCACTAACCCTACTCAATCTTACCAAATAATAGATGTTAGATGTGTTTTTTAAATCTTAGAAGAGAGAAGGATATTTCTTAGAAGTGTAACTATCCTTATGTTGTTCCCATTGTTAACTTAATCCTTATCAGAATTCATTTTTAGCCTTTCACAACAAACTTCAATGTTTTCTAGTATATTCAGAGTTTTGCAACCATCACCACAATTAACTGAGAACATTTTCATCATCGTGAAAAGAAACCCTGCATCTTTTAACAGTCACTCCCTCCTCCCCCTTATATGTGGATCATGTAATAAGTGGTCTTTCCTGACTGGCTTCTTCCACTTACATAATGTTTTCAATGTTCATCCCTGTGGTATTATGTATCAGTATTTAATTCCTTTTTAGTGCCAAATAATGTTCCATTATAAGGACATACCGCATTATATTTAGCTAGTCATCAACTGATGAACATTTGGATGGTTTCTACTTTTTAGCTATTAAGAATAATGTTGCTATGAACTTTTGTGCACAAGTTATGTGTGAATGTATGTTTTCATTCCTCCTGGGTATATACCTATGTTCTCCTCCCCCACACTGCCTACTTTTTTTCACCCCTGTGCAATGTACTTACCTTGGAAGACTCTAACAGTTTTCACAAGCCACACAGAAGAGCAAGACATCAGTAAGTAGGTCCTAAAAGGTAGAAAATTATGTTACTCATATCAAAAAACTATTTTTGTTTTTAAAACTACATGTATGCCCTTTTTAGCAATGACCCAAATACTTGTTCAGAAATTAGTAATTGAGAAACAGACAGTGAGGGAAGGACTCAGTCTTCAGTATCAACACAAGTCCCTGCCAGGCTACTAAGGGTCCTTGTTTGAGAGCTTAAAGTCATTTATCTATGAGCAGATGGACTAATACATTAAAGCTAATATAATGGTTGCAAACGTCTCCTGGGGTCTTTGGTCTCTGACCAAATATTTGCATCCTGTGTCTTGAATAAAAAGTTTTAATTTCTACTTAATAGTTTACCCACTGATGACTTCTTTAATTTGGTCTTTTTCTTTAAAATGCATGACAGGCAGGCTAAGATTTCAGGAAATGTGTTTAACCTTATAAAGATCAACACATACGTGTAATGGTCTTATGTGAGGAGAGGCACAATAAAGTTAGCTGTGTTAAAGTAAAATCAATACCTACAGAAGAGAAAATTAGAAAGGAAACTGCTGATTTTTAGTTCCTCTTTCTTTTTTCCTTGTCCCTAGTCTGTGAAGGTTTGGAACTCTAGGAATCATTACATTACAAAAGTCTCCACATTTCCATTCTAATGGGTTCCAGGTTTTCCTGTTATGGGGATGAAACTAACAGACTTAGTAAATCCTTATTTATTTGTCCCAAAGGCCAGGCAGTACTCTTTCTTCTCTGGTGCTGGTTTCTATTCATTCACCACCTCTTCTCACATTCTTTTGCTGTCCATCATTAATCTTTCAAGCTACAGCTGGGTGGGTTCAGAACAAAACCATAAGAGGAACTGAAAAATGAAATATTTACCTGCACCAATGGGGAAAAAAGGCCTATCAACTTTATCCTTTCAATGCAATCACATTTTCAAAAATTTTATTCTACTCACTTTCTAGATAGAAGACAGGATATATACATACATAAACACATATATATTCACTCTTGAAGTGTGTGTGTGTGTGTGTGTGTGCGCGCGCGTGTGTGTATATACATATATATATATATATTTTTACTATCCTCATTTGTAATGAGGTAAAATACATAGAGCTCAGTTAGTTGCCATGGAGACACTGGTCCTCTCTTATCACAGAGCCACACTATCGTCTGGTGTCAGCCAAGGAGGGATGACAAAGGCCTCCCCAAGAGCCTAGTTCTGCAATTACTGAGCAATCAAGCACCTCTTCTAATAGAGCACATCCAGGTATACATGGCTCCTCTCCCAGCACTGTCTTCCCTTCTTCCTTTTCAAACTTACACATAGCAGGATGCAGTTACCAAGTATAGATATCTTCTTCTGTTGAATGGCTTGTTTATTTCAGATTTCAGTGATTTTTTTTTTTTTGGTTTAAATAACAGACCTCACTATCATCCCCTTTGTTTTTAAATCTCATTTTTTTTAGCAATTATTATTTTCTTCTGATGTTACACAGTAATCATCCTTTTATGAATTAATCTGTTTTTATGGTTTGAAATAATTAATGAAGGAGTGGATAAATGAAAATCACAGTCTCTAAATTTCTTTAGTCCTGAATTTTCCCTGATTTCTCCAACCAAATTGCTAGAGTTATCAACAAAAAATTTTTTTTAAACCTGAACAATCAGCATTTATTCTTTGTCTTCCGGTGGTGATATAAATGAGAAGCTAAAAAAACTGAATGTATTTAAGAGGAGAAAGAAAAAAGCCTAATTTTTCTTTAAGTATTTTTATATTATTTGGGGGTTGGCTCAACTACTCCAAGATTTGATTTTCATGCTCAGACATTCTAAACTTACTCAGAAATCTGAGGTCAAACAAACATGAAAACATGTTCAACACCACTAATCAGAGAAATGCAAATCAAAACCACAATGAGAGAGCATCTCATGCCAGTCAGAATGGCTATTACTAAAAAGTAAAAAACAACAGATGCTGGTGAGGTTGCAGAGAAGGGAGAATGCTGATACATTGTTGATGGGAATGTAAATTAGTTCAGCCACTGTGGAAAGCAGTTTGAAGATTTCTCAAAGAACTTAAAACAGACCTACTATTTGACCTAGCAATCCCATTACTGAGGATATACCCAATAAAAAATAAATCATTCAACAAAAAAGATACATGTACTTGTATGTTCACCTCAGCACTATTCACAATAGCAAAGACAAAGAATCAAGCTAGGTGCTCAACAGTGGAATGGATAAAGAAAATGTGGTACATATATACCATGAAATACTATGCGGCCATATAAAAGAACAAAAGCATGTCTTATGCAGTAACACGGATGCAGCTGAAGGCCATTATCTTAAGCAAATTAATGCAGGAACAAAATCCAAATACCGCACATTCGCACTTATAATTGGGAGCTAAACACTGGGTACATACGGACATAAAGATGGCAACAACAGACACTAGAGACTCCAAAAGTTGGGGGGGAATGCTGAAATACTACCTGTTGGGTAGTATACTCACTACCTGGGTGACAAGATCAATTGTACCCAAACCTCAGCATCACACAATATACCCATGCAATAAACCTGCACATGTACCCCCTGAATCTAAAATAAAAGTTGAAACCATCATTTTCAGCAAACTACCACAGGAACAGAACACCAAACACCACATGTTCTCACTCATAAGTAGGAGCTGAACAATGAGAACACATGAACAGAGGGAGGGGAATATCACACACCAGGGTCTGTCTGGGGGTGAGGGGCAAGGCAAGGGAGAATATTAGGAGAAATACCTAATGTAGACAACAGGTTGATGGGTGTAGCAAACCACCATGGAACATGCATACCTACGTAACGAACCTGCACATTCTGCACATGCACCCCAGAATTTAAAGTATAATAAAAAAAGAAGAAATTGGGATGAAATAGGGTATAGACTGAGACACTCAAATTAGCCTGAATCTATTATTTTAGATAGACTTCTTGTAGTAACAGCTAAGGTTTGCCCTGTGTAGTATCAATAATGTTATAAAATATACCATTATCTTTGGTTTTCCTCAAGTTATACAACTCTCATCTGAGAATTAGAGTGTCAGAGGAATAAACAAAAAAGGTTATAGAGCTTTGCTAACATATCCTTATCCCCAAGGAAGAAGAAATGTTCAGGTGTTTAGAAAAGTATGATTACAGTTGGGGTAGGGAAAGATAAAAACAGTGAGATACTATAAATGTATAAGACAAAATCCCTGCTCTGAGTAAATCTGAAATCTAATTGGAGAAATAAGCCTTTAACTTATGTAAAGGTTCAGTAATATGAATTAAGCAGCAAAAAGTATACAACAGCATAAGTGCTGAGTGGCATGGGATTAATCAAGTCCAGTGTCAGTAGGATTTAGCAGAGTAAGAAAGATTTGAGATTAGTCTTAAAGAAAAGAAGAAAAAGCATACTAGACAAGGAAAACAGTAGAAGCTACAATGCAGTAGAAAAATGGTGATGGTCTTCTCAGGGGATTGTGATGAAGTTAGCATTACTGAAGCAAATCATTCTTGAGTTTCAATAAAACTTCCAGAATCAGTTTAGGTGATGATGCTAGTTTCCTCCTCTAAGACCGATCCCCAAGGTGCATCCCTCTTCTCTTTACTAGGAAGGGTGGAAGGGGTGGGAGAAGGGAAGAGAGGGAAAGAGGGAGAGAAAAGAAAGGAAAGAAGAAGAGAAGGAGGAGAGAGGGAAGGAAGGAAGGGAGAGGGAGATAGAACAATGACATTTAAAAAATGACACAACAAAGAAATGAAAAGCAGAATTTGCCTTAAAAGCAGGTGGAGAACAAAGTGGGTTTTCACAGACACATTCTGTGCTGTATAATCCCCATATGCCAGGAATATCATTAATTAGACAGAACAGAATGACTGGAGATGGGCCAAATGCAGCTTGGGAGATCAAGGGCTATATACTCATACATTTTCACCTATGCTATGCAATCTTTGGTATAGCTACACAGTATGTACAGACTTTATCAGGAGCTTGACAGGAGCCTGAATTAATACTAGGATTTTAATATACCACTGATTCCTGGCATTTTTATTACCAAAAGATGGTCTCATAAATATACAGTGTCTCTGAGCTGGACAACAGAGGAAAAGATACTTGGATGGTGGCATAAGCTGGGGGGAATGCCAGCATAAAAGTTTATTGGAACTATTTTAAAATGTCTGCAGAAAAGGTTTACTGGGAGGTGATTTGAAAGAATAACGATCTTCAGGATAATATAACAGTAAGGACAGGCACGGCAGTTCACACCTGTAATCCCAGCACTTTGGGAGGTGAAGGTGGGAGGATTACTTGAACCCAGGAGTTCAAAACCAGCCTGAGCAACACAGTGAGACCTCATCTCTGCAAAAGATACAAAAGTTAGCCAGAAATGATGGTGTACACTACTGGAACTCCAGCTAGTCTGGATACTGAGGTAGGAGAATTGTTTGAGCCCACGAGGTTGATGCTGCAATGAGCCAAGGTTGTACCACAGCATTCTAGCCTGTGTGACAGAGCAAGACCCTGCCTCTAAAAGATAAACAGTAAGTGCTCTGTAAACATTATCTATGTTCCAAGCACTGTGCTAAATGCTTCATGGGCTTGATCTCATGTAATTCTATAAGATAAATAGTAGTCATCTCCATATATCACAGCAGAGAAAACTGAGGCTCAAGAGAGATTAAAGCAAGCAAGCTGCCCATAATGAACTGACTCTATTATAATAAAGGCAGTATTTGCTTCAAAATATATAATCACTATAGTATCTATTTCTTCAGCATTATCCTCTCTTCTATTTCCTTTGATAAGGCTATATGCAGAGGCATAAAAGAAAAAATCTGTATTTCCATTGTAAATTTTGTTAAGATGGAAAATACAAATTGAAGAGAATATTTCTAAATAAAGAGGGGGAATGGAGACAGTACTTACAGAGAAATACTTCTTAGGACACTAGGGAAAAGTAGTAAAACAGTCGCGATAATTCTCTTCTTTAACATGGTTCATCTAGCTATGTAGGGACTCATGCAAAAACAAAAAAAAATGTACAAAGAAAGAAAATTTAGTGTTTCTCATCTTCCCTCATTCACTTGCCATTCTGTGGTCATGAGATATAAATTTCAATGAGTTTTGCTCACTTCATAACCTGGTCTCGTCATTCTGGAACATACCAAGCTTTTTCCTATCACAGCATCTTCACACTGCTTGTTCCCTCCACTTAGAAATTACAGTTGACTTTTCAAGAAATGTGTCAGTTCAGATGTTAGTTCTTCAGACTGACTTTTCCTGAACAACCTAAGTAAAAGTTTTCTCCTCTTCCATGCTCAAAACCTACCCCCTTCCTCATACACTAGCTAAATATTTTTCCTCTTCACACCATGAATCACTATCTGAATTTATTTTTTATTTTTTTGTTATTTTTTTAACAGAAACAGGGTCTCATTATATTTACCAGGCTGGTCTCAAACTCCTCACCTCAAGCCATCTTCCCACCTTGGCCTCACAAAGTGCTAGAATTATAGGTGTGAGCAACCATGCCTGAGCTATTTTTTATGTTTTATTTTATATATAAAAATGTATTCCTGTGAATGTAAGTTTTATTCATTACTATCTCTCTAGTACTTAGAAAAGCAGTTGGCACATAGTAAGAACTTAGTAAATACTTGTTAAATGAATGACCACCACACCTACCAATAGGAATAGGGCAAACTCAAAACAGACATATTTGGTAATGCTTCAAATTTAAAAAGTGCTTACATATATTTCAGTAGTCAATATCCCACTGGGTACTAATCTGCATATTAACTGGTTATATCAAAACACCTACAAATCAAAGAATTCTATTTGCTATTACAAGTCTTAGTCTTATTTGCATGAGGGCCCTCAACTCAATTAAAATTCTTGGCATAGTTGTGTGCCTAGTTACTGTCTAAACTCCTTTCAAAGCACTGGTAAAAAGGACTTTCAACAGAATCCAGAAGAGCAACAAAATATATCAATGAGTTCTGAAGTTTTTATTGCCATTTCCAACAGACAAAGTTCCTGCTTTCATCTGCCAGAAATGTCCCTGTAAACACTAAGGTTTTTATTTCTGCTTTTCAGACTAGCACAAGTTATACTGCTCCGCACAGCTAGAAGAGAACATGGTTAACACAGGAAAAACAGCTAGTCAAAGCAGGTAACTTCTTTGTTCATAACACAGTTACTTTGAAATTTTCTTGGTATTTGAAGAGGGAATGACATCTAGGGTTGAGAATTCAATCTCACATTCATACATTGTCTTTGCTGACTTATCCAGGAATTAGGGTAAATTCTTCATGGATTTTATCCCATTCCAGTTTCAATGGCCTGGTGTTATCCTGAAAAATTAGCACCTCCATCTTCCACTTGGGGCTAGACAAGAATCAATATATTTGGAATTGGTAGAGGACACAGGTAGCAAATTCTTAACTCTGAGAAGTAATGACATTTCAAAAACACTGAATTGTTGGTGTCCCCTCTATCAAATGATTTTTTTGTTTTCATTTGCAGAATGAGGCTTAGGTAAAAAATATCATTAAGAAAATCCTATGTTGAGGCCAGCCACGGTGGTTCATGCCTGTAATCCCAGGACTTTGGGAGGCCGAGGTGGGTGGATCACCTGAGGTCAGCAGTTCAAGACCAGCCTGGTCAACATAGTAAAACCCCATCTCTATACAAAATATAAAATTTAGCCTGTCGTCCCAGCTACTTAGGAGGCTAAGACAAAAGAATCGCTTGAACCCAAAAGGTAGAGGTTGCAGTTAGCCGAGATCATGGCACCAAACTCCAGGGTGGGCCACAGAGAGAAACTCCCATCTCAAAAAAAAAAATTCCCATGTTGGGCTGGGTGTGGTGGCTCACCTCTGTAATCCCAGCACTTTGGGAGGCCATGGCAGGAAGGTTGCTTGTGGCCAGGAGTTCAAGACCAGCCTGGACAACATGGCAAAACCCTGTCTCTACTAAAAATACAAAAATTAGCTGGGTGTGGTGGTGTACACATGTAGTCCCAGCTCCTCAGGAGGCTGAGGCACGACAATCACTTGAACTCAGAAAGCGGAGGTTGTAGTGAGCTGAGATTGTACCACTGCACTCCAGCAAGGGTGACAAGGCAAGTCCCTTTCTCAAAAAACAAAACAAAACAAAAACAAACAAACAAAAAAAACTAAACAAAAATGTTTCAGTTAGTTTTATTTTAAATTTTAAAATAAGTATTAATAAAAAGAAAATCCTAAGTTCTATGTTGGACTTGACAAAGAGTTTCCAGGTCCTTTCAGTATTTTCAGTGGGAGTTATAATTATTTTTGCTGAACTGACAACTGCAGGTTTTTCCTACAGAGTATTTCCTTTTCAACAAGAAGCAGAGACTACAGTTTTTACTGACCTCCATCTATCCAGATACCAGCTCTTAACTCATCAAACAGTCTTGTCTCATTTCTAGGACATTATACATTGTTTCAGACCTCTTTTCACTATAAGAAATGAAAACAGATGTCCAATTCCTAGGACCTATATGGTAAAAATAGAAAAGGCAGTCCCACTCCTGGTGTAGACTCCAGTCACAAGAGTCCTTAACTGATTAAGAGTTACTAACCGGCTGGGCGCAGTGGCTCATACCTATAATCCCAGCACTTTGGGAGGCCGAAGCGGGTGGATCACGAGGTCAAGAGATTGAGACCATCCTGGTCAACATAGTGAAACCCCGTCTCTACTAAAAATACAAAAAAAAAAAAAAATTAGCTGGGCATGGTGGCGCATGCCTGTAATCCCAGCTACTCAGGAGGCTGAGGCAGGAGAATTGCCTGAACCCAGGAGGCAGAGGGTGCGGTGAGCCGAGATCGCGCCATTGCACTCCAGCCTGGGTAACAAGAGCGAAACTCCATCTCGGGGTACTAACAATTAACTTTTTGTGATTTTATTATTGTGCAAATTATATATCCCATTAGGTATTCATCAACTGGTAATTTAAGAGATTTTTGTCTATAAACAGCATGTTTATCTTGGAAAAACTGCTAGCAATTTCACCTTAAAAATTTGCAATGTGGTTCATTTGCCCAAAAAAAAAAAAAAAAAAGCTGTTTTAAGTAAAATGCAATGTTCAATGCATCATATAAAATTCTCTTAAGAAAGGCTTTTAGCTTTTTAGCACCATGCCAGAGCAGGTGCAAGGTGATAGGCGAAAGCTAACTGAATTAGTTCATAGAGCAGTACTTAGTGAACTGCACATGGGTAAACAATAAGGTAAGGAGACCATTAATAAATGCAATAATGGGCCCAGCACGACGGCTTGTGCTTGTAATCCCCGCACTTTGGGAGGCCGAGGCGGGCAGACCATGAGATCAGGAGTTCAAGACCAGTCTGGCCAGTATGGTGAAATCTCATCTCTACTAAAAATATAAAAAATTAGCCAGGCATGGTGGGGCGTGCCTGTAATCCCAGCTACTTGGGAGGCTGAGACAGAAGAATCACTTGAACCCAGGAGGCAGAGGTTGCAGTGAGCCAAGATCGAGCCACTACATTCCAGCCTGGGCAATAGAGTGAGACTCTGTTTCAAAAAAAAAATCAATAAACTCAATGATGGTATCAAGAAATTGCAACAGAATACAGAAAATGGTAGTGCAAGGATGCATCTTTGAAAAGCTATGCAAATCCTCTGAGATTACCCAAATGAAGTCCCATTCCTCACTTTGGTAGTATCTAAAGTTAACAAATCCTGGCTTTTATCCTTCCCCTGCTGTTCTTTATTTTAACAAGCTAGTTAAAAAAAAAAAGGTTAGTGTAGTGATTCATGCCTATAATTCCAGCATTTGGGAGGCCAAGGTGGGAGGAATGCTTGATGCTAGGAGTTTGTGATCAGCCTGGGCAACATAGTGATCCCCTCATCTCTCCAATCAATCAGTCAACCAATCAACTGAAATATAGAATATAAAAGCAAATAGTAACAGAAAGAAGGAAATTCAACAAGATGTGGGAGCACCCAAGAGGCACACGTATCAGTAAATGATAAGTAAAATGAATAAAAGACCAAATTCTGGTCTTTAAATATATTTCTATCTACATTCTATAAGTATGTATTAAAGAGATGATCACAATAAATTAGCAACTTACTTTTCAACTTTCATTAAAAAGGGAGGATATATAATATTACTGACAATTAGATAAGCATGCTAACTTTTATAAAACTAAGTGCATATTTTCCTTTATAGTAATAATCAGGGGAAATTATACATTTATTCCACCACTAAATGTATTACACATTTTTTTTTTAATTGTACTTTGGGCTCTGGGGGACATGTGCACATTCTGCATCCTGCAGGACTACTGTGTAGATACATACACGCCATGGTGGTTTGATGTCTCCATCCTCCTCTCCCTGCTGTCACCTATATCAGGCATTTCTCCATGTGTTATCCCTCCCCATCCTCCCCCGCCCCCGCTGTCCCTCCTCTTCTCTCCCCTCCACCCCCCAACCTAGGCCAGTGAGTGTTGTTCCCTTCCCTGTCCCCAAGTGTTCTCATTGTTCATCACCTACCTAGGAGTGAAACATGTGGTGTTTGGTTTTCTGTTCTTGTGTCAGTTTGCTGAGAATGATCGTTTCTAGATTCATCCATGTCTCTACAAAGGACACAAACTCATCGTTTTTTATGGCTGCATATTATTCCATTATGTATATGAGTCACATATTCTTTGTCCAGTCTACCACTGATGGGCATTTGGGTTAGTTCCAGGACTTTGTTATAAACAGCACCAGAACCAATATACGTGTGCATATGTCTTTATAATAGAATGATTTATAATCCTTTGGGTATATACACAGTAATGCCATTGCTGGGTCAAATGGAATTTCTATTTCTAGATCCTTGAGGAAGCGCCACACTGTCTTCCATAATGGTTGAACTAATTTATACTCCCACCAACAGTGTAAAAGTGTTCCTTTTTCTTCACATCCTCTCTAGGATCTGTTGTCTCCAGATTTTTAAATGATCGCCATTCTAAATGGCATGAGATGGTATCTCAATGTGGTTTTGATTTGCATTTCTCTAATGACCAATGATGATGAGCATTTATTCATATGTCTGTTGGCTGCATATACGTCTTCTTTTAGGAAGAGTCTGTTCATATCCTTCGCCCACTTTTGAATGTTTTGTTTTTTTCTTGTAAATCTGCTTTAGTTCTTTGTAGATTCTGGATATTAGCCCTTTGTCAGATGGGTAGATGGCAAAAATTTTTTCCCATTCTGTTGGTTGCCAGTTCACTCTATTGATTGTTTCTTTTGCTGTGCAGAGCTCTTGAGTTTAATTAGATCCCATTTGTTTATTTTGGTTTTTGTTGCCATTGCTTTTGGTGTTTTAGTCATGAAATCCTTGCCTATATGCCTATGTCTTGAAGGGTTTTTCCTAGGTTTTCTCCTAGGGTTTTTATGGTGTGGTCTCATGTTTAAATCTTTAATCTATCTGGAGTTAATTTTGCATGAGGTATAAGAAAGGGGTCCAGTTTCAGCTTCCTGCATATGGCTAGCCAGTTTTCCCAACACCATTTATTAAACAGGGAATCACTTCCACATTGCTTGCTTTTGTCAGGTTTGTCAAAGATAGATGGTTGTAGATGTGTGGCATTACTTCCGAGGCCTCTGTTCTGTTCTGTTCGTTAATACCTCTGTTTTGGTACCAATACCATGTTATTTTGATTACTATAGTCTTGTAGAATGATTTTCCACCTGTTTGTGTCCTCTCTTATTTTAGATCTTTCCTTGTTTCTCATGTGGGCATTTATTGTCACAAATTTCCCTCTAGACGCTGCTTTAAATGTATCCCATAGGTTCTGGTATGTTGTGCCTTCATTCTCGTTGGTTTCGAAGAACATTTTTATTTCTGCCTTCATTTCACGGTTTATCCATTCATCATTCAGGAGCAAGTTGTTCAGTTTCCATGTGATCGTGTAGTTTTGAGTGCTTTTCTTAATCCTGAGTTCTAATTTGATTGCGCTGTGGTCTGAGAGATTGTTATGATTTCCATTCTTTTGCATTTGCTGAAGAGTGGTTTACTTCCAATTATGTGGTCAATTTTAGATTAAGTGTGACATGGTGCTGAAAAGAATGTGTATTCTGTGGATTTGGGGTGGAGTGTTCTGCAAACAACTATTAGGTGTGCTTGGTCCAGA